TTTTGAAAGTGTTAATGTGATTTTGTAGTGAATTTACTATTTTGCAGTAAGTTCATGCGACCTGCCCAGTTCCCGTTTTATGCTTATCGACGAATTTGGATGCAACGAGACCTGTATCGTGACACACAAATTTAAGCACTATATCTACGAGAAAGTTCACCCATCCCTAGAAGTGAGACTTTTGAAATACTTTGAATACGATACCTCTGAACATACGCGGTCATTTGTTAGGATGCTTGCAGATTCATTGAAGAAGTCATGAGCAAGTTTGAATACACAATTCGTCAACAACTTCAGGCAAAAGGAAAGGTGATTTTTTTCTATTTATAACTAGCTTTAGAAGATGCTACTGCGTTACGTGATGTGCAGGAGATCGAAGCGGATGCATTCGCCCAGCTTCGACTTTGTGACATTGCCACTTCTTTGTTTATCATGTTGACTAGCGTCAGTCGCGCATCTCGGAGCTATTCGATCGGTTTAAAAGACGGTGATCTGGAGGTAGGTTCTTTGAGCCCGGCATCCATTCAATTTTATGTCCACTACATTTCATCTTTCATACCCTTATCGCTTTAGGTTACCATGGCTCATTCGCTATGCGCAAATCTTAAAGTGCAGATGCAGCATCGTATGGTGGAAATGCTTAAAGGTACTCACTACCATACTGTATACTCCCCACAGCGTTTATATGTCGAAGCCGTACATATCGTTTTGTTTCGTTGCTAGCTTTAGGGATATGCAACTCTGACCGTATTAAAATGTCTCCACTGACCTATGGCTGCCTGATATTCGTCGAATCAAACCAGATACAACGTAAGCACCATCACAGTAGCTTGTAGGAATAAGTACTCATCGGATTCAATGGTATCAATGTTCCCTTTCACACAAGTTTCCAACACAGAACATGAGACTACTTCAGCGTTTAGATACCAGTTCGTCTGTAAATCCATCGTTTCCAGAATTGTTACAGATGGACTCTGGAACTTTTCTAGATGATGAAAACATTTAATACCTAGCTGCTTGGACACTGCCTGATAAGGTTTGATTTTAGACCATTTGAAAACCATATTTTGACCTACATGAAAATATTTAAACTGATAATTCACAGGTCTTTATGTTATAAAGACGTAAAACTAGAAATACAGAAAACGGAAACGGCTTCAAAATTCGTTCACTTACTTGTCAGAGTAGTTGCTTCTATCGATGAACAGGTCAACGCGATTTGGTATCTTGTTCACGAACGAATAGATTAGCATATTTCTAGTCTGCACTGCCTGAACATCAAAGACACGGAGTGACAATTGTGGGTAAGGGAATTAAGTAGCCAAGAGAAATCCATGTAGAGAAGTGACAAATTTGCTGCGTCATCCGTAGTTACTGAAACCTCGCCAAATCACTTCGTAACAGACTGAAGACATATGTAATGCGGTATTATGCTGCCGGCATGCACGCTGTCATATCAGTACTTACGATAAGGGCATCAAAGACGCATGCATGTGCCCTCTGCCCAACTGGGGTCTACTACTCAAAGCTAGTGCGGTCAAAGGGATCATGTTCTGGTCGAATGCTGGCCAGATGGAAGATTACAAAATTTCAGAATGGAATAGATACTTTCGGAGAGAAGTCTTGCAAAGCAAAATATCGAACGAGACGGCCGGTGCCTAAATGAGACTAGTCCAGTTTCTTATCTTTAGGATACAAAATATTCTACGTATGCAAACCAGCCACATTTTGCGTTTTCAAGGCAGTGGTAGGTCGCAGTTATGAAAAGGGCTTTATGCGTATCAGATATTTGAGTCCTTAAAACATACAATGAAAAGTTTGATATACGATATGCTTATTATTACCAATGTGCTATAGTCGCAGTAGCCTTAGTTCACAGTCCGTTTGAAACAGGCTAAAACCACTCTCTGCTTTCCACAAATTCGGCGTCGACTTTGCTGTGCGTGGGAGTGGACAAGGGGGGGG